TTCCGGTTTTGATATCTCATGATCCAGACATGCTAGGGTGACGAAATTTGGATGGCAGGTAGCTCTTGTGCTGGGGATGAAGTGACATGAGTTTGAGCCCCCTAGTTGCTTGCTCTAAGAACTGACAGGGGGGTTTAAAGGACAAATGCTTTAAAAGAGGTATAACTCAAGAACCGATTGATGGATCATCGTGATTTTTGGTATGTAGGTAGCTTGAGTGATGCTTGACATAATGATATTACAATTATGCAAATATTGATGTAATTTGCATAATTAATGAGGAAATTCTATAAATCAGCTGCATACAATGATAGGAAGTTCAAGCTTGTAACATATGTTATTAAGAACGAGAAAAACACAGGCAAATATCGATTATGCAAATAAAGACTTAATTTGCATAATTAATGAGAAAATGTTATAATTGCATAGTGGTAACTGCCTGAAATTTCATACTTGGGATGTTTGAAAGTTAAGTGAAGGTGAACATAATTAAACATAACTTATTCAAATAGGACCACATTTGCATAATTTATGAGGAAATGCTATAATGGCATTCTTTGTTAAGATAAGACTGTCTTTTGGTGTAGAATATGATCAACAGACTGATATAATTCATGCAATCGAGGATCCTATCTGCATAATCAGGGTGATAAGTATATTCTTATTTATAAAGGCTAACATCATTTGGCGAAGGTATGAGATCGTGGAACTCTAGTTTTCAATTGAAATTTCTTCATGAAAGCATACATCTCGCACAACGTTTCAAAATATAAGTTGACATTCCTCCGAAACGACTAGGTGCAACCATACAAAAAGGAAGTGACGATACCACTGAAAGGTACTCAACAGACGTATATAAAAGATTATGTCCATTTCATAATGTAAATCCCTAAATCTACCTTATCATTGCAATACCGCACATTTCAGTGAGATTTTAGGGCATGACCGAAAAATGGGGCCAAATGAATTGCTTGTAGCTTTGCGAGAATTCACCAAAGAGCAAATCTGTTAGCAGCAGAGATAGAAAAGTAGTTCAGGATACTAATGTCCAAGTTTCATTTCAAAATATCATTTCATTCTCGGTCTAGGAAGGAAAACACAATTTTGCGTGATGCGGTCAAAATCGACCTAGAATTGTCTATGCGAAACATAGCGGTTTGAAGACAACCTCGCTTCGCGCGAGCTGAAATCGTGTCGGTTTCCGTATCTCATCTAAAACTACACGTATTTCTTTCAAATTTGGCTGGTATGTTCATTGAAGCTTACAAAGTTACGGTATGAATCCCCATGCTGATGTCATAATCAGTCATCGAGTTATTTTCAATTGAAATTTCTTCATGAAAGCATACATCTCGCACAACGTTTCAAAATATAAGTTGACATTCCTCCGAAACGAGGAGGTGCAACCAATGAAAAAGGAAGTGGTGATACCACTGAAAGGTCCTGAACAGACGTATATAAAAGATTATGTGATCTATTTCATAATGTAAATCCCTAAATCTACCTTATCATTGCAATGCCGCACATTTCAGTGGGATTTTGGGGCATGGCCGAAAAATGAAGCCAACTGAATTGCTTGTAGCTTTACGAAAATTCACAAAAGAGTAAATCTGTTTACAGCAGAGATAGATAAGTATTTCAGGATACTAATGTCCAAGTTTCAGCGCAAAATATCATTTCATTCTCGGTCTATGAAGGTAAACGCAATTTTGCGTGATGCGGTCAAAATCGACCTAGAATTGTCTATGCGAAACAGACACGGTGAAACAGAACGGTTTGAAGGCGACCTCGCTTCGCGCGAGCTGAAATCGTGTCGGTTTCCATATCTCGTCTAAAACTGGATGGATTTCTTTCAAATTCGGCTGGTATGTTCATTGAAGCTTACAAAGTTACTGTATGAATTCCCATGCTGATGTTATAATTAGTC